ATATCTACAGTTTAGGAATGATTATGTGGGAACTTACTTCTGGAATGCGTCCTTTCTATGATCAAGCATATGATGCTCATCTTATGCTTGATATATGTAATGAAAGTTTTCCGTTACGACCAAATATCACAGAAGATACACCACAATGTTGGGCAATTTTGATGCAACAATGTTGGCAATCGGATCCTTTAAAAAGGCCAACTATTAATAAAATATACGATGAAATAAATCACGAATCTTGGAATAGCAATAGATGTTATATAAATGCAGCTGAAATGATGCGACAAGAATTGCTTAAGAGCGGAAAATTTATTGCCAAATACATGCATCCTCATTCTAAAACTCATAGCAAATTATTAAATCCTATTATAGACTCAGTGCTTTTAGATTTATTTGAAGGTTCTGGATCTTTTACATTACGCTTTCAAAATATTAATAGTGATTCATTTAATATTATGTAAGTAATTAGTTCATTATCGTTTTTACAAATTACTGAGCATTTAAAAATAATAAATTATTGATTTCTCTAATTTAAATGGATACATAGTCCTAAACATTTTAAAAATGCCAACGGTTTAAATTCAACTATAAGCCTATCAACTTCAAAAAAACGCATTACCGAACTTTTACCAAATAAAAATGATTATAGTAAGTTTAAATTTAATATTTGACTATTTTATCAATTTTACGTATTACTGGATTTATTTACGACACTATATTTATAAGATGTACCAAAACGAAGAAAATTATTTAATAACGGTATATTGGTTTTTTTTTTTTATTAAACTTAGTATCTATAATTATTAAATCAATATTAATCATACTATCTTACTCACATTCTCGCTTGAATATACTAAAATAATAAATTTATATACGAATCCATATCATTCTGATTTTATAGAATAGGACTTCTATCTCATTTTCTAAATTCGAAAGTTAGAAACACAAATAAAATTTTTAAGCTATAATTGGAAATCGCGAATTCTATGATTTATACCAGAAAGTTCTAAACGTTGCATCTGCCATTAATGGCACGATCTGCACTATAATGTGGCAATCAAACATTTCTGCTGGAAAAATGAACATTCGATATGGAAAAAGACTCAACAAGTGTGCGTTGAAAATAAAATGGATTAATAGCTTCTTTTTCCCATTAAATTTAACCATTCCCAATTTTAATTATACTATCTTGACTTTACTCGATGACTCATGTGCATTCATTGTTATTTTTTAAAATTAATACGTTTCCATTGTTATTATCGTTTTAAATTATATATAAAGCAAATTTTCAGACTATTAAATTATAAAGCCTTTGCGGTTTCAAGATACAAAAGCTAGACAAATAAAATAAAGTATAAATATGAAACACAATAGAGAAACATGCGTAAACTGCAATAAAAATCGAATACTTAAATCCGATAAACTATGTATTCGTTGCCATTCCAAAAAAACTAAATGCATTAACTGCAATAGAAAGAAGGAACGTATATATGAAAATAATAAGCTGTGTATAGGCTGCTATTCTACACAATTTCAGAATGTTATTCGTAGTGGAAATCAGGATATTGACAATCTGATCAAAGCAACATACAAAAATCAACTTAAATTTAGATTAGAATGGATAGCATTTAACGATTTTACGGATGTAACCAAAATTGGAACTGGTGGTTTTAGCGAAATATACACCGCTACATGGGCAAAAGGCGGAATAACGGGTTGGAGTAGAACAAAAAATGAATATAATAGAAGAAAGAATCAAACAGTTGTGTTAAAAATTCTTAAAGATTCCCAAAATATTAATTCAGCATTCTTAAAGGAGGTAATATTAGATAAACTTTATTTTAACTACCGATACATTACTCTAAAATTTTGTTTTTTTTGCCGCAGTTACAAAATATTGTTAAAAGTCAACCTAATTCTTACATGCGCAACCTTATTCAATGTTATGGAGTGTCACAAGATCCAGAAACAAAAGATTATATTTTTGTTATGTCATATATGTATAATGGAAGTCTAAATAATTATTTATCCAACTATTTTGAGAATGTTACTTGGGTAACGAAACTTTTCTTTCCTAAAAATATTGTTACAGGCATTAAATGGATTCATGAAAATAAAATAATACACCGCGATATACACGATGGAAATATATTAATAGGTAGCCCAAGAAGCTATAGGATTTACTCTACCCCTTTAATTGCAGATTTAGGATTTAGTCGACCAGCAAAAGATGACCTGGAAAGTTCAGAAACAAAAATATATGGAATCATGCCATATGTTGCACCTGAAGTGTTGATCAAAAAGCAATATTCATTTAGCTCAGATATCTACAGTTTAGGAATGATTATGTGGGAACTTACTTCTGGAATGCGTCCTTTCTATGATCAAGCATATGATGCTCATCTTATGCTTGATATATGTAATGAAAGTTTTCCGTTACGACCAAATATCACAGAAGATACACCACAATGTTGGGCAATTTTGATGCAACAATGTTGGCAATCGGATCCTTTAAAAAGGCCAACTATTAATAAAATATACGATGAAATAAATCACGAATCTTGGAATAGCAATAGATGTTATATAAATGCAGCTGAAATGATGCGACAAGAATTGCTTAAGAGCGGAAAATTTATTGCCAAATACATGCATCCTCATTCTAAAACTCATAGCAAATTATTAAATCCTATTATAGACTCAGTGCTTTTAGATTTATTTGAAGGTTCTGGATCTTTTACATTACGCTTTCAAAATATTAATAGTGATTCATTTAATATTATGTAAGTAATTAGTTCATTATCGTTTTTACAAATTACTGAGCATTTAAAAATAATAAATTATTGATTTCTCTAATTTAAATGGATACATAGTCCTAAACATTTTAAAAATGCCAACGGTTTAAATTCAACTATAAGCCTATCAACTTCAAAAAAACGCATTACCGAACTTTTACCAAATAAAAATGATTATAGTAAGTTTAAATTTAATATTTGACTATTTTATCAATTTTACGTATTACTGGATTTATTTACGACACTATATTTATAAGATGTACCAAAACGAAGAAAATTATTTAATAACGGTATATTGGTTTTTTTTTTTTATTAAACTTAGTATCTATAATTATTAAATCAATATTAATCATACTATCTTACTCACATTCTCGCTTGAATATACTAAAATAATAAATTTATATACGAATCCATATCATTCAATTAAACAAAAAAATGCCAGATTCACAGTCATATATCAATTTGAACAATTTAAATCTAAATCATGATAAGCTATGTTATGAGACGGGAAAAGCTCTAGTTGAAGCTCTATGTACAAACCCTAATTTAAAATGCTTGGATTTAAGTTCAAAAAGACTATGTAATGGGGCAGGGCGAGGAATAGCTGAGGCACTATGCAATATTAATGCACTAACAAATTTAAATTTAGAAAACAACTATCTAGGCGACGAAGCAGTTATAGCACTAGTCAAAGCTCTGTATAAAAATACCACCCTTATATACTTAAATTTAAAAGATAATCAACTTGACAGTAAAGCTATAACAACACTGGCTGAAGCTTTATGCAAAAATATCGCCTTAACTAATTTAGATTTAAGTAGTAATAAATTAGATGAATCAGGAGGAAAAGCACTATCTGAGGCTTTATTCAAAAATACCATCTTAACTAACTTAGATTTAAGTTCGAATAATCTTAGTGAATCAGGAGTAAAAATACTGGCTGAAGCTTTATGTAAAAATACCACCTTAACAAATTTAAATTTAAATAAAAATGGTATAGGTGAATCAGGAGGAAAAGCACTGGCTGAAGCTTTATGTAAAAATACCACCTTAACAAATTTAAATTTAGATTGTAATGGTATAGGTGATTCAGGAGGAAAAGCACTGGCTGAAGCTTTATGTAAAAATACCACCTTAACTAATTTAAATTTAAATTATAATGGTATAGGTGAATCAGGAGGAAAAGCACTTGCTGAAGCTTTATGTAAAAATACCACCTTAACGAATTTAGATTTACGTTGGAATAATCTTGGTGAATCAGGAGGAAAAGCACTTGCTGAAGCTTTATGTAAAAATACCACCTTAACGAATTTAGATTTAGGGTCTAATAAAATAGGCAATTCAGGAGGAAAAACATTTGCTGAAGTTTTACGCAAAAATGCCACCTTAACAAATTTAGATTTAGTTGATAATGAAATAGGCGATTCAGTAGGAAAAGTACTGGCTGAAGCATTATGCAAAAATGCCACCTTAACGAATTTAAATTTAAATTTTAATAAAATAGGTGAATCAGGAGGAGAAGCACTGGCTGAAGCTTTATGTAAAAACACCACCTTAACGAATTTAAATTTAGGTTGTTGTAATGGTATAGGTAATTCAGGAGGAAAAGCACTGGCTGAAGCTTTATGTAAACATACCACCTTAACGAAGTTAGATTTATTTGATAATTTTATAGATGAATCAGGAGGAAAAGCATTGGCTGAAGCTTTATGTCAAAATACCACCTTAACTGATTTAAATTTAAAAGATAATAAAATAGGTGAATCAGGAGGGAAAGCATTGGCTGAAGCTTTATGTAAAAATACCACCTTAACGAATTTAGATTTAAGTTATAATAATTTTGGTGAATCGGCAAAAAAAGCGTTAAATGAAGTAAAAATAATTAAATGTGACCGTTTAGTTTTACACATATGATAGATTACACACAAAACTGTATAAAAAATAATAAAATTATTAAAGCATCTACTGTATTTTGTATTGGTGAATTTGTAATAGCCTACGTTCCTTTACAAAAACATTCATAACTGACGTCAAATTATAACTTAACATAAATAGAAAATTCTATTATGAATATTATTAGTCATTTTCAAATGACAGTTTATAATGATTAAAATGTAATGTTCGTCAATTTATTTAATAAAAAAAAAAGTTTTTTTTGTAGCATGGCATAGTTTTTCACATTTTCCACTTTATACCTTTGAAAAAAATTTATTGTGCAATGCGCACATGCTCAAATATCAAATAAATATGACCAACACAAAGATTATAATGCTCAGTAGCTTTTGATTCAGCCATTTGAATTCCTACTAATTTGAAATCGTTATTATAACCTATAGGTCCACATTTGATTTCTGTTGTTTTTTGATTTGCTTCACCATTTCCAAAAATTTGAGTCGTTTGACCATCTGACATAACGAATTGAATGCCACTAATAACACGTTCACGAAAATGAACATTCACACCAACTACATAATTATACTTCTCATCAAGACCTCGAATAGTAAACGCATTTCCACCCTGTTCATTTCCGGTAGGGGTTCCGATTTGATTTTTATATTTAACCTTTAGGCAATCTAAGAAAAAACCGCAATGGACGTTTATACCAGCAATGACATCAGGCTTATCACTACTCATTGGATGTAATGCATTATGATCTTCTGGACCATGATTACCGTTTGGAAAGGTATCTTTTCCATAAATTCCATAATAAATTGTACCAATCGTTCGATTTGGAGCGATTGTAGGCGCATTCGAATTATTAGGCAAGAATTTATTCAAAGCAAATGTATACAAATACATTTTCATAAATTCTGCATTTGCTTCATTAAAATATCGTGATTTTACTCGATCAAACATTGTCGTGTAGCTTTTTTGTTAATTTCAGTGTTTACATAAGTAACCGCTTGATCAATTAAGTTATCATAAGCTTCGTAAGGAACATCCTTATTCATCTTTACTTGGATACAATCTTTGCGCCAATTTCCCCATTTAGAATATATTTCTATAAAATATTTTTTATAACCTTCACTTTTTCTCGTAATTCCTTATCATAAGAATTAAGAGTCCCTAAAAAATGATATAAATCATTACCGTAATTACCGTCATTGCGGTTGCGGGTTTTTCATTAAAAGAGTTTTAACAATAAGAAATTTGAGTACCTTATGGTAAGTGCATGCCTCTTTCAAAATAGCAAGATACATTAATGAATATGTGATAGCGATTGTAAGGCCAGACCAATTTAATTCGGTGGTTTACGTTACCCCCCCCCCTCTTCTGCCTTCCCCCATTTCCCCCCCCCCTCTATATGTGCGGAAAATTTCGGAAAACTTTTATTATATCGCGGAGCGTTTCGGAAAAAATTTTATA